CTGGACTCCAGTATTTTCCTGTAAGGATAAATTTTGAGTCCATCTGTGCAATGAAAAGACAATAGTCACCATTCAGGCTAATGTTCCAGGTTACGGTCTTAACTAAATGTTCTTTGATGTGTGTGTTCTTGACAGTTGACTCCAGGACAATTAGCTGAAAGAGAAGATGACACTGAGGGTCTCTGTGTTCCAGCTCAGTTGTCTGGGTACCTTTCACATGGTGTCTTAGTTTAATTCTCCCAACAACCCAGGGAAGTGAGCAGGTGTTTTTCCTTTTTTCAGACTGATAGAAACAAAGGGAAAAAGAAGTAATTTGCCTCTGGCCACACAACTCTAAATGGCTGAGCTGGAATTTGAACCCAGAAGAATCTAACTCTGAAGACTCCATCTTTCTTTCCTTATCAAGAGATAATACTGTGGATACAGAAGTCACTGGGGCCACCTACCAGGATTTGCTGGGCTGCCCTTAACATAGGAAGCAGAAGATTCAACTTCTGAGCTCCTCTGCCTTTTTAGACTCTACTTACTGTATCTCATTAATGTCTTGGGAATGAGAGGGTGTTTCTGGACTGCTCTGAGCTCTCAGTGCCAATGTTGTGTGCTAAAGACCTTCCCCCAAACCCACCAGTGCAGCTACCTGACTTAATGAGAAGTTTGTCCTAATCAGATGGCTAATGGGAAATTAAGGATCATAAGACTGGTGATCTTACTTTAAGGGAAATTTATATTAAAAAGAGTCTTTTTCTTAATTTCTTAAAAAAACTGAAGAAATTAAGTCTCACTAAAATAAGTAGCAGTAAGGCATAATTTTAATGGATATTGAATTTCAGACAGTATCTGGTTTAAAAGCAGGGGTTGGAAAGGGCTTGTGTTGTATCAGGTTTTCCAGAGAGAGAGAGAGCGGTGTGTTGGGGGGGGTGGGGAACCATATTATAATCTATATTCAGAAAATGAGCTTTTTCTAGATAAGCCACTGTTTCCTTTTGACCTGTCTAAACCTAGTCTTAAAAGAAAAAGGAAAAGAAATTGATGAATAATCCAACCAGCCTTGACCATGTAGAACAAATCAAAACCAATGTTTATGTCCAGAGAGTTTGACAAAATATTATGAAATAAAACATCAATTGGATCAGAAGATAGAAAGTCAGAGGACCATGTTTCCCAAAGTTCCCAGCAGTAACAGTATCACCTGGAAGCTTATCAGAAATATAAACTCTCTAGGCCCACCCAAGACCTACCAAACCAGAAGCTCTGGGGTTGAGGCCCCAACACTGTGTTAAACTCCCTCCAAGTGATTCTGGTACACACTAAAGTTTGCGAATGGATGTTTTAGTGTGGCGTGGCATTGAAGAGAGACTGTGGGTTCTGGCCTCACCGCATACTATTTCTCTGATCTTGGACTTCAATTTCCTTATCGGCTTAATAGTGATAATACCCACCTTGAGGTAGTATTGTTATTTATTATCACTACACCGCTCTGAGCTCTTAGCTTTGAAGATGTAGAAATGTTTTTCAGATACATAGGGGTCAGCTTGGGCCAAAGCCAGAAATTCCTAATCATCTTTGTAAACCATTAATATTACTATTATTAAACATGGCTGGCTAAACACATTTCTATCTGACCACTCCCGACACCCCACTGAAGCAACAGCAAAGGAAAGGTATTTTTAGGGCATAAATCCTTAAGGACAAAGAGAATGAGGGAAGAGTAATCAAAAATTTGAAAGCTGGATAGCAATGATTGACTTGGCAGACTCATGAAAGCTCCTGAGGCGATAGAGGGGAAATCTAAAAAAAATAATTTGATTTACAGCAGAACACCTTCCCTCCACCCCACAAGAAGGTATTAGTGGCAATAAGTGCCTTTAGAAGTGAGGCTAATGGAGGGCTAAGAAATAGAGGGCTGGTTGAAAATTTCTTTAAGAAGCATTTAGACCCCCAGGTATCCGCCTTCTTTGAAGCTGGGTCACTGACCCTCCTCCACTCACAGAAACCTTGTTTATTCCTAAGACAGAGTCTCTGAATTGGGAGACACCAGGGACAGTGGAAGGCAGAGGTACTATACGAAAACAGGGCTTCAGGGAAAGTTTATACACTGGATGTTGAGACCTTCATCCTCCCTACTGGGTTGCTGAATGACGCCAGTGTTCTCCAGACAGGAAATTGAGGACTTCCATAGGAACTCTGCAAAGTCCAGAAGAACAATCCTAAAGTTGATGACACCATGGATTTTTCAACATGAACTCCAGACAGGTTATCCTACAGTGAATTCTCATAACTGACAACCCCGCTTCTAGACAAAAACCTTTTCATCAGTTTTCTAGGGCCCCACTCTTAAAAATAAGCATATATTTCTAATATGAAAGGCAGGCAAACACAAATAAATGAGGAAACATAGACCTAACATGGAGAAGAAAACTTATTGTTGATAATCTCAGAAAGTAAGAGAAGATATTACATCGATGAAATAGAACAGAATGCTATGAAAAAAACAAACATTTAAAGAACAAAAAAAATTCATGGAAATTAGAAGTATGATAGCAAATTAAAATTAAACAAAAGGGATAGAAGATAAAAGTTGAAGAAGCTCTCAGAAAGTGACAGAAAACAGGAGAGAAAAATAAGAAAATTGGATTAGCGCAGGAGTGTCACACCTGAATAACAGGATATCTGGAAAATAGAATGGAAAACGAAGAGGGAGAAACCATCAAAGAAATAACCCAATAACTATGTGAGGTGATAAATGTTAACCTATTGTGGTAATCATTTCTCAATATATATACATATCAAATCATTGTGTTATACACTTTAAAGTAACACAATGTTATCTGTCAATTATATCTCAATAAAATGGGGGGGGATAGACCAAGAAGATCTTTTACTGATATGACTTTGAAAGTCTCCATTTTTAAGAATTCTTTTTTTCAATTATTAATGATTTCCCCTGATTTGTCTCTTTCCTCAATAGTTACTACCTCTATGTATTCATTCATCCCATGCTTTTTTAGCCTTTTCTTTGTCTGTATTTGGCACTAAATGGGGAGAAAAAGATGTCAGAGAGTCAATGTGGCTATATCTGTATCAACCCATCTTCTATGTCCCATCTTTGCTGGGTGGAGTTTCTACATAAGAAGAAGGGCTAACAAAGGCCTAATGACCTTTTGCTAGGAATTAGGAGTACAAAAACACAGGTTTGAGGGTAGGGTCTTTTTTAAATTCAATTTTAATACATCATCTGGAATTCTGCATAGAACAAAGTGAGTTTGGATAGACCCATAAACTACCAACAGAGGGAAATGATTTTTTTTTCATTGTTATAAAAAGGAAAAAGACTCATTTGAGTCTTTTCTTTACCTCTAGGCTTTGATACACTTGCAAACTGACCATTTATTTTTTCTTTTAAACTTTTCAGCCTTCCCAATTTAGGAGTAAACCGTGTTCTACAAGGCTATCAGAACTTGGGGTTCATTTTCCGACAGAAATAATTTTATGAATAATGACCAGCTTCCTAGAGGAGCCACAAGTCTGTTTAACCCACTGGATATTAAAAGTATGCTGGTGAGGTTCTAACAGCTCTGCTGAAGCTGGTATCCTAGAATGACAGAAATACCTTGCTGACATGGGGATGGGTTTTTCTCTATATCACTTCCCTTTGGTAGGAGGCATATTAGGTGCCCCTCAAGCTTCTGGAATCTGGAATAGATGCCCCAAAGGGACAGAGATAAGAGAGGGGAAAGGAGTGTGGCAGATGGCTCTAGAGTCCAGGGAGCTAAGGAGAATGGGGAACTAGAGAGCTAGTTAAGGCTAAGCAGACAAGCCCAGTGGCTTAGGACCTGTGACCTGTTAAACACGCTTATTTCCAAACCCATTCATTGAGTGTCTCTTTTCTGTCCCACCAAAGATCCTAGGTAGGGGTGGGGCCACCTACTTCCTTTTCCATCGCCCTTAATTCGTTGCTTCTGACTCAAGTTTTCCTCCATCCTGGGTTCATAGAATAGAACAAGTTTCTCAATTTCCCCTTTCCCTTGCCTTTTGAGAAAGTGTGAAGAATTTTATTCCAAGTGATAAAAGAGAGCTGACTAGAAATAAAGTGTTCTTATTATGTTTATCTTTCCCTCACCCCACTTTGATCTGCCAGAGAGAGAGAGAGAGAGAGAGAGAGAGAGAGAGAGAGAGAGAGAATTTCTTTGAGATGAAGGACATAAATTTCTAGATTGAAAGGATTTATTGAAACCTAGCACAATGGATAGAAACTCAACCACAGCAAAAGGTACATTATTATGAAGTTTTAGAATATTGTGGAAAAGAGTTTCTAGAGGAAAAAAAAACAGGTTCATTTTGAAGGATGAAAGATCTGAATGCTTTTGACTTCTCAACAGCAAAAGAAGACAATGGAGAAATGCTTCTAAAATTCTGAGAGAAATGATTTCTAATCTAGAATTTTGCACCCAGCCAAGCTATTAATTGAGTAGAAGAGTAAATGTTAGGTCTCAAAAATTTCTTCCCATATATCCTTTCTCAGAAGGCTATTAAAAACTGTCTCCTACCAACAAAAGGAGTCAACCAAGAGGGCAGAAGACATGGGGTTCAGGGATGAATCAGGGATCTGACCCAAATACTAAGTGACATGACTTCCCAGGAATGCCAGGACAGAGACTTCCATGTATGTGTAGCTGGCAATGGAACAGCTTGGAGCCCTTCAGGAGAGATTTTTTATTTATTTATAGAAATGCAATTGATAGACTAACTAGTATTTTTCATATTTTAAAAAGAGACATTTACCTGTGGGAGAGTTTGGAGTCAAATTAGTGATAAGTAAACTAAGCCAATGAAAAGATGAAGACCATTAATAGCTACAAGGGAGACACTACAGAAAAGGAGAAGCAGCCATAATACAGGGCACGGCTTAGCTGTGATGGTTTTCATTTAATAGTAATACTACAAACACAGATAGTTATCCAACCAAAATGACAATATAACTCTATTGGGAGGATGGGGCAATGGGAAAAAGTGTGGGATGTGAGTGTGAGATCGGAGGTGAGGAGGGGAAAAGAGCTGAATCCTCAGCGGTCAATGGACACTGCCTAAAACTGAAATATCAGAATACACGGTGATTTGAGCATGACATTCAATAATGGAGATCAATAGTAAAACAGTCAGCTAATACAATGGAAAGTGAGTGCTTCTGCAGAACAGGAAATTGGCTGCAAAGAAAAAGGACCTGGGGAGTTAAGATTTTTAGAAATGTCTTGGCCATTTAACTGTTTACACTAGGTGCATGTATAACATATATGAAAATAAACACTAAATTTACAAAAGAGAGTCAAAAACTTTTGCCATCCTACCCTCCACCCCATTTCCATACAGCAATTTCTAGCTAACAGCCAGAGAATACCATCTTATTGTTCTTTAGGTGAGACCCAGAACTCTGGCTATGATACAATATTAACTCTAAACCACTCACATAAAGAAGGAACTCTCTTCTCTAAAACAGCATTTTGCCTTGGGGTTGGGAGAAGTCTCCTTACTTCTTTCCCAAAATGGAAGGACCCAAGTCATCCATAGTCACCCTGGCACACTTAGAGTCAGCCAGGGCATCCTCTGCACTGTGAGTTGTAGTCATGACAGTGACTTTCCTACAATCTCCCTCCCTTCCATCCCACATCACACTCAAATATCTATTATTAGCTGACTTATATGTCTTCTCTCCCAGTTGGGTTGTGAGTATTTAAGGGCATCATGCTTTATATACAAGATATCAATAAGTAAAAGGTATCCATGAAAAACATATAACCCCGCTTCATATGAAATTAAGGAAGGAGCATTGGGAGCAGAATTATGCATTTTTAATAATATTAAAAATTCATAACAGTAATAATAATAGAATGAGGCCCTCCTGAGTACCTTTAACCTTCCGGAATGCCTCAGAACTAGGCTGGGCTGGGAGCAGCCCTGGGCCATAAATGACAGATGTGGCATCACTGCCTTAACTGTGACCAGCACACCAGTGTCTCAGACCTGCATGTGGCTCTCAGATCATTGACAAGAGAGCTGTTCTTACTGCATTGATTTGGTGTAACTATTTTTTTATGCTCAAGATTAAATGAACTCTCTGGCCACCATCCTGAGAAAAACACCTCTATGCTTCACATGTGACCTCTGGTTCATTGTGGATCAGAAAACAGAGCTGATACAGGACTACCATACAGTCCTGCTTAGGGGCAGACTCACTGGGAACAAGGCAGCCACCCAGGCCCCAGGAGGATGGGGCTGAGAACGCTTGGTGACATTCCAGGGATGGAGGAGGTAGGAGCTTCGCCCATGTTGTATATGAGGTGATTTATGAGCTTAGAAGAGCTGGTGTCTGCATTATGCAGGCTTTGACTACTTCCGCTTTTCATCTGCCTCCTTTTGCTCAGTTGACACCACACCCTGGTACCTTTCTAGAGCTGGTGGCACTTTCTGATCCTCATTTACAATTCTCTTTCCAGTGATTCATGTCCTGTTTTCCAGGTAGCCATGTCCAGCACTGCTGGGCAAACTAAACTGAAGATTTCCTTCCCTTACATCTAGATCCATGTCTTTACTTCTCATTTTTTCCCTCCCTTCATCTGTCAGCTAAGACTGAGCAAAATTATTTGAAAGAAGTGATGTGGTATAGCCACACAATGGGATAATATTCACCAATAAAAAGAAAAGAACAATTTATATATGCAATAACATACAAGGATCTCAAGGATATTTTGCTAAGTGGAAAAAGCCAGTCTCAAAAGACCACATACTGTCTCATTCTATTTATATGACATCCTTGAAATGAGAAGAGATTAGTGGCTATGGGAGTGGCATGAATATAATGGGATAGCAAAGGGGGATCTCTGTGGTGTTTGGACAGTTCTGTATTTTGAATGTGGTATTGGTTACGTGAATCTACACATGGGATAAAATGGCCCAGAGTTAAACACATGCTTTATATCAATGTAAATCTCCTGGTTTGGATAGTGAGCCCTTGCTACGTAAGGTGTAGCCAATGAGCAACGGGATGAGGCATTTACAGAATCTCTCTGTACTATCTTTAATGCTTTCTGTGAATTTATAACTATTTTAACAAATTTTTTTTCTTAAAAAATTTTCAACTACAGTTAACATACAGTATTAGTTTCAAGTATACAACATAATGATTCAATGATTTTTTTTTCTTAAAAAGAGGGATGAGCTATTGATAGTACAACAACATGGATGAATTTCAAAGTAATTATGCTGAATAAAAGAAACTAGCCAAAAAGAGTACAAAAGAAAAATATAGATATATTGACTACCTCAAAATTAAAAACTTTTATGCTGCACACGATACTATCAGAAAAGTGAAAAAACAACTCAATAATATGAAGAAGTATTTGCAAATCATACATGTATAAAGGATTTGTATCCATAATATATAAAGAATGTTTATAACTCAATAATAAAAACAAATGACCCAACAGAAAAATGGGCAAGAGATTTGAGTGAACATTTCCCCGAAAGAAGACATATAAATGGCAAACAAGCACTTGAAAAGATGCTTAATTAACATCATTAGCCATCAGGGAAATGCAAATCAAAACTATAGTGAGATAGCAGTTCACATCCACTAACATAGCAATAATAATAATTTTAAAAATGATAGTAACAAGTGTTGATAGCATGTTGGAGACATTTGGAATCCTTAGGCACCTCTGGGGAGAATGTAAAAATGGTCCAGCTACTGTGGAGTATACTTTGGCAGTTCCTCAAATTGTTAAACATAGAGTTACCATATGACCCAGCAATTCCAATCCCAGGCATATACACAAGAGAATTGAAAACATTCACACCAAAACTTGTACATGAGTGTTTATAACAGCATTATTCATAATAGCCAAAAAGTGCCAACGACGCAAATGACCATGAACTAATGAATGGATAAATGAAATGTGGCATATCCACACACTAGAATATATTCAACAATAAAAAGGAGTGAAGTATTGGTACATACTATAGCATGGATAAACCCTGAAAACATTGTGTTAAATGAAAGAAGCTAGCCACAAAAGACCACATATTGTATGATTAAATTTATGTGAAATGTCCGCAATAGACAAATAGAGACAGAAAGTAGATTAGTGGTTGCCTAGGACTAGGGGGTTGGGGTGGGGTAGGGAATGACTGATAATGGGCACAGGATTTGTTATTGGTGGGATTGAAGTATTCTAAACTTAGATGCAGTGATGATTGGACAACTCTGTAAATATACTAAAAGCCATTCAAATGTATACTTTAATGGGTGTATTTATGGTATATGAATTATATCTTAATAAAGATGTTTTTAAAAAGCACATACTCTATGATGCTATTACATACAATTATTGAAAGTGCAAGCTAACTGTGGTGACAGAAAACAACAGTGGTGGCTTGGGAATGAGAGGGTAGAGAGCGGGGAGAGGCAGGTGGGAGGAGGGATTGATTATAATGGGACATGACCAAATTTGGGGGGATGATGGAGACGTTCACTGTCTTGATTGTGGTGATGGTTTTATGGATACATATGATAAGCTTTGAGATATATATCTAAAACATAGATATATGTCTAAAATATATCTAAAATATAGATATGTTTATATTTGGTATCCTTTAAATATATACAGTTTATTGTATATCAGTAACTCCTTTTTTTTAAAGCCAGAGCAAAAACGTATGTGGAACTCACTAATTTGACAAATGTTTATCGGGTGCTGGTACAGTGTTAGTGCCCGGGGATACAGTGGCAAGGAAAAGATAGGTCCCGCCTTTAAGCAACTCATCCTTTGTCAGGGCATAGGCAAAGAAAGCAGCATATGGTTATAAAATGGGCTATATAATGTGAGCTCTGTGGACATGCCTGGGGAGTGATGGTCACCCTCATGGGGCGGTTTCCTGGAAGCATTGGCAGTTGAGCTTAGCATTCAAGGACAAATGGAAGTTAGAGGTAAAGGTGGGGTTTTATGATGACCTGATGGTCCTCCTTCCTGACACTAATGTAGGGAGAGCAGAAGGAGCACAGACTATGTACTTATTACCTCCCAGAGGGAATCTGGTTTTATTCTTAGCATGTCAAAGCCACACTGTTTCCCCAGGAGCCGCGTGACAGTGGATTGTTGCATTAACATGCACCTGAACACTAAGTGCAAAGCCAAGATAGAACACCCGTCATCGCTCTCGGCAGACTTGTTCCTATTTATTTATTTGTGATTACATATTCCGGGTCTGTCCTTCTGCGACATCGTTTGCTGTTTAAGGGCCAGGAATGAGTGTCCCATTCACCCTAGTGGCCCCAGCAGGCAGTGTTTGATAAAGGTTATCAAACCTTTATGACAGGATTTGATAAAGGTTGCTTGCTGATAGATTTGGATTTGGGCTGTCACGGAGCACGTAGGAATACGTTTGCATGGTGGCCTCAGGCATGGCTCAAACTTTATGTGGCTTTATAAGTGAAACAGTCCAACTGCCCCCATTCTCCCCATTGCTCTCTGTACCCTAGCTCTGGCCCAGGTCATGTCAGCTCCCGTCCACTTTAGCCCTATCCTAGTGGCCTGGTGTTAGGAGACTCTTTGGGTTCACTCCCAGAGGCTCCTGGGGTGAGGTTCTCCTGAGAAAGTCAGGACAGTCTATCCTGGGGAGGGTAGCTTTGGCCATTGGCTTGCTTTAGGCAAAGTGAGCATTCTTGGGCCCTGGTTCAGGGACCACTCATGTTTTGTTTCTTCTCCTCCTCCTGTCTCCAGCACTTCTCTATGCCACCATCTTCGGGAATGTGACGACCATTTTCCAACAGATGTACGCCAATACCAACAGGTACCATGAGATGCTCAATAGCGTGCGGGACTTCCTGAAACTCTACCAGGTGCCGAAGGGATTGAGTGAGCGAGTCATGGATTATATCGTGTCCACCTGGTCCATGTCCAGAGGGATTGACACAGAGAAGGTAAGGAGAGCGACGAACTCAGGGAAACCACTTGTCTGCTGCCTTTCCCAGGGAGATCTGAGGCTCTCCTAAGGCAGTGCTTCTCAAACCTGGCTGTGCCTCAGAATTCACCTGGGTAGTTTTGGGTTCCCAGGACCTACCTCCAGAGGATTTGATTGCTTCCAGATTAGCCTTGCTCAAAGACTAGCAATTAAGAGCTATGATTTAAGAAATTGGAAAGGCCGAGTGTGTCTCCTAGAGAGGAGAGGAACTGGAAGTCTAACTGTCCAGAGCAGAATTTCCCAAACTTGTGTGATGATAAGAATCAGGGCCACCCAGGGTGAGGTGATCAGTATAACTTGATTTTCCTTTCGCCTCAGGCTAAGATGGCACAAGATGCCACAGCACTGCTACTGATGCTGTCTGTCTTTCAGCGTTTTGATATTTTGTTCATCCTGGAATTTTTGCATGAGAGTCGACAGTTTGAAAGGAAAAACTGAACTAAATTTAAGTGATCCCATCTTACAAGGAACAGTATTTTGGTTTGGTAGAAACCTTGCTGTTTGCCACAAGAACAGTAACATAGTCACACCACCACTGCAGCACCAGCTACCACGTCTTGAACGTGCATCAAGCACAGATATTTACTGCACTTCTGCAGGCACCTGGCCCTGCATTCATGCAGCACTTAGGTTCCAGAACAACCCTGAGAAGGAGGGAGCCACCGTTATTTCTATTGAAGGCATGAGGACACAAAGGCCCAATTAATTTTATTAACTGCCCCTGGTTACAGAATTAAGAATGGCAAAGCCAGGATTTGAACCCAATTTGTCTGACTTCAAACCTTGTCTTTTTCCTACTTGTCCTTTTTTTTTTTTTTTCTTAAATGTAAAACATAGAGAAGGACAAGTCCAGACAGAGTTGCCCTCATTTCTCAGGCAGGTCGGGCATCGGTTGAGCAGGACTTAGTCCCCGGCGTTGCCCGTCACCTGCCCCGGCTGTGACTGTTCTTTCTGTCCTGCTCTCCCAACAAGGACGTAGGTTCTGTGGGTGCCTGGCAGCTGATGGAGCAGAAAGGAACTTTGATCTCTCAGCCCTGGGGCTCCCTTTCCCAGGGGCCAGGATGCCTTCGAAAAGCCCGTTGTGGGAAAGAAACTTTGCCTGCTCGCTGCAGGGCTGAGCAGGGTGGCTGCCCACGGAAGATAGCACGGTCAGCATGTGCCCTCTTCCCCGCTCCCTGCTGTCTCTCAGCCCCTGGAGGGCTTTGGGATTTGCCCCAGGTCCTGATCTGGATGGAAGAGGGGAGACTGTGGCAACTCACTGTGGAGCCCAGTGGGCCTGGGGTGCCGCTCTTCCTGGCAGGGGCTTGAGGCAGGCAGCTGCTGGGGAGAGAGCGAGTCCCATGGTCCCATGCCTCTTCCTAGTCCCCTCCCCTCCATTCTGGATCAGAATGGTCAGTGATGACCCGGGGAGCCGAGGGGTGTTTTTGTGTGAGTGAGGTGGGAGGGTGTGGTGCTGGCCTCCTCTGGTTTTGCCATTCAGTAATTGGCTGGTGACCTTGAGCATGTCACCTGTCCTTTTGAGGCGACACATGGAAACTAGATGACTTTTAATACTAAGGCCGACCTCTAAGGCCCTTTGGGCTATGACCTTCTGGACTTTGAAGCCTCCCTCAGGCTGACCCGCTGCTCTGCTGCTGTAACAACATCAGAAATGAGCATGCACGTGCGCTGAGCACTGCGTGTGCCAGGCATTGTACCAGGACGCTCCACAGGCCAGTGCATGGAATCCTCAGAAGTCTACGCTCAAGTTCGAAAATGAACACTTGGGGAAAGAAGCTAAGGCCTGCATTGCTTCAAGTTCACGGGATGAGGAAGTGTTGAGGCCGGGAATTGAATCCAGATGTGTCTGACCCTAAAGCCTGTTCTCTCAGCCACGTGGCAATCCTGGCCAGCCTGGGGAGGTACCTTCTGTGGTGACGTCTCCCTGTGGCCTTCCAGGCCTCAAGGATCAGAAGGGATGGTCTCCCCTCAGAATCAAGCAGAAGGGAAGGTGGCCCCGGACAAGGCCTTGAGCTGACACCCTCCCTCAGAGAGAGGAATTCAGGACCCCAACCCCGGCCAGTGCGGAGCCAACAGAAGAGCGATGGAGATGCCTGACGGCTGCGACAGCCCGTCATTTCTCCAGTCCAGGTTCCCGGTCCTCGCACGTGTTTTCTCATCGCTCCGGGAACAGTGTCCATGAATAAAACATTGTCTCCATGCCAAGGCCTCATTCACTAGCAGCCTCTGCCAGCAAAGCCCAGCCCAGGAGAAGCCAAATATTTAGAGGTGAACTTACCTGGGGAATAAATCGTGGTGTGGAAGCTCTGGGCCAGTGTTGACCTGACATGTGAGAGCGTTCCCCATGCCCTGCTGTTCTGCTTGGAGAGAAGAGGGTCCAAAGGAAATCCGCGTTTCTACAGGAGCCTCGTTTTTTTGGTTTGGTTTTTTGTTTGTTTGTTTTTATGAGCTTTAAGAAGAGAGGTACTTAGCAAGCACGCTGCCCAAGCAAGCACTGGCAGTCTGAAGTCTCCTCTGTCTTGGCCAGTCCTCCATCCCCTTTTCCCGGGAACATGGAGAGCATGTACTTAGGTCAGTACTTAGCTGACCTCCTCAGCATCCTGCAACCTCAGAGCAACAATGCAGAGGCACACAGAGGGAGGGGCAGGCGATGGCTGAGTCCCTTACTGCGGCCAGGCACTGCGCTGGGAAAGCGTACTGGTAGATGTAATCTCATTGAGTCACTTGGAGGGGAAGGAACTGGGATTTCAACTGCCTGCCCTCCCCTTTCCACCGTCACAGCCACATCTCCATGCAGAGCACAAGGGGCACCCCAGCGGGTGGGATAGGAGCCATGTTCTCAAGGGCAAGGGGAGGCTCCGGCTGGGTTTTGAAGAGGCTGAGGGACGTCCAGAAAATGAGGGGAACTGCAGACGCAGAGGCAAACGACCTGCGCTAAGGCAGAGAAGCTGGGGTGGGGAAGAAACCGGCAACCCCAAAAGTCTTCACTGAACACATTTGATTTTGCACCCCAGCGTTGTTCACAGGCTAGGATGGGAGAAAGAGTTATTTTAAGAACACTCTTAACTTCTCTGGAAAAGTCCACTTGCTATGTGAGGGTTTCTTACAAAAATTCAGTCCAGGGAAGTATTTCTCCGTCTAGAAGAGGCTGAGAAGTTTTCCTTCCTTTGAATGTTGACACCCACATGGCCTCTTACAGTTCCCACCTTGTCTTGAGTTCCTGGATGCTGATTATATGTCAAATTACAAGCCCATTTGTTTTGGGGGCAGCCACATAATATGGCAAGTGGCTAGTGTGTAAACTGGGCTCTGGAGTCCAACGCCCCAGTTTGAGATCCCAGTTCTGCCATTTCCTGGCTGTGCTACGTTGGGCAAATTATTCATTTTCCCTGTGCCTCACTTTCCTCATCTGTAAAATGGTACAATAATAGCACTTACATCCTATGGTTTGTGTGAGAATTAAATTAACTAATGCTCGAAACAGTTAAAAATGTGAAACCACAACCGTCCCTGGTTTTCCTTCTCCTTTCCTTCTTTATTGTTCCCTTTAGCACTTACCACTAAATTTTACTATTTTTCTCATTATTTGTCTACTCCCACTAGATGGTAAGTTACACAAGGGCAGGGGTTTTTGTCTATTTTGTTCACCACTACATCCTTGGAGCCTAGAATGATAATCTGGCATACAATAAGGAGCTCGATAAATAAGCATGAAATGAATGAATGCCTAAAGTGCTCAGCAATGCTGGGCACATAGCAAGTGCTCAGTAAATATTACCTTATCCCTCTCTCTTTAAATCACACCCATATTCAGTTCATCCGCGGATCATGTCCGCTTTATCTTGAAAATATATTCTGAATTGGATCACTTTTCACCCCACTGCCAGCATCCCTGCCCAAGTCCCCTCACCCCTCTCCTGGTCCCGCAGAAATGTCCTAACTCAATTCGTTGGCTCCATTCTTGCTATAGTCAGGGTCCTCTAACTCGCCTCGGTAGCTGCAATGATCCTCTTAAAATAAGTCAGGTCCTATCATCCTCCTGCTCAAAATCTCTAATGTGTCCCCATCACACTCAGAATAAATCAAAGGCTTTTCATAACCTAAAAGTCTCTAGATGCAACCCTGCTTGGCGTTCTCCCGAAACCTCATTCTCTACCCCTTCCCTCTCATTCACATTGGCCACGGCTCAGGTCCCCTCACAGGCTTTGTTATTCTCCTAGAAGGCTCTTCTTTCACGTGGCTCCTTCTGACACACTATGCAGGTGTCAGCTTAAATGTCAGCTCCTCAGAGAGGACTTCTCCAGCCACCTAGGGGGTTCCACATTCTCCCAGCCCCCAAACTCTTGGGCCCCTCTTCTCTTTTGTGGTCACTGGCTCCCAAAGAAAGTAAGCTCTGTGAGGACAGGGACTGTGGCTATCTTGTCCCCCAGAGCCTCGAGTGCAGTCTAGCCTGGCAGGGGTTGCTTCTGCCCCCAGGTGTTGGGGGGGCAGTGGGCTGGAGGCCACAGCGAGGAGGACTCTCACACTGTTTCTTCCCATGCCTGGCCAGGTCCTGCAAATCTGCCCCAAGGACATGAGAGCTGATATCTGCGTGCACCTGAACCGTAAGGTGTTCAAGGAACACCCAGCATTCCGGCTGGCCAGTGACGGCTGCCTGCGGGCACTGGCCATGGAGTTCCAGACGGTGCACTGCGCCCCAGGAGACCTCATCTACCATGCAGGAGAGAGTGTCGACAGCCTCTGCTTTGTGGTCTCCGGCTCCCTAGAGGTGATCCAGGACGACGAGGTGGTGGCCATCCTAGGTAGGTGTTGCCTTTGCTGGATGGAAACCTTCCAGTGCCTGAGGTTGGCTTAGCTACTGGGCAGCTCAACACTGCTGCTGCCTTCAACCAGAGATGGCTACACAGGGCAAGACTGATTGTCAGCATCTATCCGTCCATCCAACAGACAAATATTTGAGTGCCCGTTTTGTGCCAGTTGCTGTTTGAGGCACTTGGGGTGTTCCAGTGACAAAAAATGGGTTTTGTCTTCAAGAGGCTTCCAGTCTATTGGGGGAGATGAGCAAATAAGCAGAAATGTGCATACAGTGGAAGGGGCATCTAACCTAGTATTCAAATGTCAGGAAGGCTTGCCGGAAGAAATGACACCTAAACTGAAACCTACAGAATGAGAATGAGTTAGCGTGGAGAAGAGACGGGTCAAAGGCGTATGCTAAGCAGAGGGGAAGGCATGTGTGACATCCCTCAGAGAGACAGAGAGAGCATGATTCATTTGTAGAACTACAAGGGCTTCGGCGTGGCTGGGGCATGCAGAATGAGAAGGGAGATGGGAAGAGGTGAGGCTGGGAGGGTGCCAAGCACTAGGCAGCTCATGGCAGGCCCCGGGAGCCATGTTCAGGGACTTGGATTGTGTTTTGGGGAGCCGGCGAAGTGTTTAAAGCAGGGAGAGGCATGATCAGATTTGTACCTTAGAAAGATGACTGTAGGTGCAGCTTAAAGTCTAATGGGTTGAAGGGGGAAGGCTGGGGCAGGCAGATGAAGCTGGGGGCGTGTTATCTAGGGGCGAGTTACACTGATATTGTGATGAGCAGATGGAGAGAAGCAAATGGCGCTGACGTATTTAAAAAGGAGAATCCACAGAACTCGATGAAGGATTTTACTGTTGGGGGAGAGGGAAGAGTGAATGACTGCTGGATTTCTCACTTGGATAACAGGAAGCTGGTCCGCCGTGCTGTAAGCGGGAACGTGGAAGGAAGACCAAGGACACTGGGGGACGTGTTGGTATTTTACATGTTGAGCATCAGTGGCCTTTGAGAGATTCATCTGATTACCTGAGGTAGTAGCTACAGCCCAGCTCGTTGTGGGGACAGGTCTACCTCTTTGAGAGGGCACGCCGTCATAATAACTGCCATCATGTATGGTCCTCTATTCTGCATGAGGCATTTCACATACAGATTCTCAAAGAGTCCTTACAGTCGCCCTGTGAAGTGAATGTGTTATCCGTATTTTTCAGATGAGACAATGACAGCTCAGACACGTTAGGGAACTTTCCCAAGATATCGCAGCTGACGAAGTCCATGGAGCTAGCATCCTGGAGTCCCTCAGACTCCAAAGCTTCTACTTCAATCCATTTGGCAATACAGCAATCCTAATAGGAATTTATGTAGTTTTGTGGCCCCTTAAGTTGCCAGGTACTGCTAGACATTGTAGACATATATTTTTATCTTTTACATATGATTTCTTAGGAAACTGAGGCAAAGAGAAATTAAGTTACACTGGAGTTCGAATTGAGATTCAAACTAAGTATCCAGACATAGAAAGCATTAAAAAAAAAAAAAAAAGCTAAACTTTGTTCCTGTGTGACTCTGGCGTGCATATGTAGACCTTCTCTTGTTCCCCTGGCCCCAAACCAGCTTGCCCTCTTGATGACATTCTGCTCAGGTTAACCCAAGGATGATTTAAATTCCTTCAGTACGTGCGGGCAGATGGCCAGAGGGTGTCTGGCTGGGGGGATGGAGACCAAAACTGCTGAAACACGTGTTCCAGATTCCTGGTATGCACTGAACTCTGCACACAGGGTTTTCTGCTCCTCGCCTCCATCAGCCACAGAGATGTGAGATTTGACTGTGTATAAGGAACAGAACACATGGAGGGGACAGCCACTGCTTTAATATAGCTGTGGGCAATGATTTTCATCCCTGCCTTTGATCAGTGCCCTTGATAAAGAGGACTTTCCATTGTTGATAGCAATTGGGGTGTTTGCCTGGCTGAGAAGAGGAGTAACATTTGAGTTTGATTTGATGCTTTGATGTGGGACATCTTTCACTCATCCCCCCGCTGATAACTCACCATATGCCTTTCCAAGGAATCTAGCCTGGCGACCGGCACTGTCCCGCTTACATACTCATGCTCAGGCCATCCTTATCAACCCACCCTAACAGCTGCACTATTAGGTTTGGTTTGGTCATCTAGGCATGGAGTTTGGACGGAGGGGTGAGGAAGGCAAATGACTATGTCCCAGCCCTGTCCCATTTCCCCTCAGCCTGGGCTTCTTGTGGGAAAGCACCGGGGCTCGATTCATTGTTGATTTACTTAGTCAATTGACTGCTTCTCCAAATCCATTCCTCTGCCTCGGGCCCTCTTGAGTATCCTGCCTGTTCTAGTTAGCAATGTGGAAGGGACCTCTGAAAGAGCTCATCAGCCAGGGATTCAAAGTGATTGTTGCCCTCAAGCTGTCCAGACTAGAAAAGGCCTCTGCTATGTGTCCCGAGGATCCTGGACATTTCAAGAGGTTCTTGTTCAATAAAAGGGCGATGCAAGTTCTTGGCATCAATCTGACCTTTAGGCCAAGACGCATAAGAGATTCCAAGCTTTCTGCTCTCTGGAAACTTAAGTTCAGAGCTGTTTTTCTCTAATTAGAAGATTCTTTGCTCAATGAACTGAAATCAGTTTGTTCTTGCAAAGGGGGCTCAAACATCAAATGGATACGAGAACCAGATCTTTATTGCCCTTTGACGCACTTTGGTTCAATTCAGCCAAAATTCATTGAATGCTTTCCAGGCACTGTCACAGAGGTGAGGCTGCAGCTGTGGACCAAACATTAGCCCAGCCTTCAAGAAGCTTCTACGAATGCAGGCGACCGACATTATTAAAAAGGCAACACTCACACTGCTTGATAAGTGCTAGCATAGAAAGAATACAGGGGCTTCCGGAGGGTCATTGGACAAATGATTATTGGGCAGCTACTCTGTCCAGTGCTCCAATGAGGAAGGAGAACGGCCGGGCCATCTTTAGTTATCAGAAAGCAGGAAGCTTTAGAAAAAAGCCCAGAGCTAATTTATCTCATCCGTTTTGTCTCCAGTCTCTTATCAGTCCGCTCATTTACATTCCTCTAATTTGTTTCCTCCTTCCAGTTTTAATATTCCACCCCCATTCTTTGTTTAATTTTAGCACAGACTCCAAGAATGAGGGAAAGTGTCAGTATTCATTACTGAGTGTGTTTAGTATCTGTTAAAAAAAGAACCCTTTCTAATAAAGAGTGTTTTTCAAACTTCCTTCACTGTAACTCACTGGATGAAATGTTTATTATATTGCGAACTAATAGACACATGTGCACACACAGTTATACATAAAACTCAGTACTTACTCTTGCTATAGGGAATGAAACTCAACTGATGTTTAGATTCTACTCTTTCGTTTAAAAAGAAATTGACTGTCATGGCTCTCTAAATTGTTTTCTTGGCCTGATCGCAGCCCACAGTTTAAAAATATGGTCCCACAGATTGCAAATTGATGCAGCCACTATAGAAAACAGTATGGAGGTTCCTAAAAAAAAAAAAAAGTAGAACTGCCTTATGACCCAGCAACTCCACTTCTGGGTATTTATCCGAAGAAATCCAAAACACTAACCTGTATGTTCATTGCAGCACTATTAACAATAGCCAAGATATGGAAGCAACCCAAGTGCCCATCCATAAATAATTAGATAAAGAAGATGTGGTACATATATACAATGGAATATTACTTGGCCATAAAAAATAATGAAATCTTAACATTTGCAACAACATGGCTGGACCTGGAAGGTATTATGCTAAGTGAAATAAGTCAGACAGAGAAAGACAAATACCACATGATCTCACTTATATGTGGAATCTAAAGAACAAAATAAACAAACAAACAAAACAGAAACAGACTCGTAGATCTAATCTAATGGTTGCCAGATAGGAGGGATTTTGGGGTAGGAGGAGTAAAAAAGGTGAAGGGATTAAGAAGTACAAATTGGTAGTTAGAAAATAGTCATGGGGATGTAAAGTAAAGCGCAGGGAATATAGTCAATAATACAGTAATAACTATGTATAGTGCCAGGTGGGTACTTGACTAGTCATGGGAATTACTTCGTAAATTATATAAATGTCTAACCACTATGCTGTACACCTGAAATTAATATAAAATAATATTGAATGTCACCTGCAATTGAAAAATAAAAAAGTGGGGGAAAAAGGTATAGGGGAATAAGAGGTCCAAATTTCCAGGTATGAAACAATAAGTCACGGGCATGTAATGTACAGCATAGGGAACATAGTGAATAATATTGTGATAGCGTGGTACAGCGTCAGATGGCTGCCAGACTTATAGTGATCACTTCTTCAGGTATGTCAATGCTGAATAACTATGGTGTACACCGGAAACTAATATAATATTGTATGTTAGCTATATTTGAATAAAAATCTTTTAAAAAATAAAAACATAGTCCCACAAACATAGACAATATCTCTCTTGGATGGAAGGCCATGCTGTCCCCTGAGAACAGAGTATACTACACAATCTCTAATGATCTCTTTTCCTTCTGATGTTCTTTGCCTTATTTTTGGGATGACACCCTCCCAATCTCCTTCTGGAATTCTCTTAGAAATCACTTAATGTCTTCTCAAATTTAGTGTCTTGGCTGTTGGAAATACATTTAAGCCTTTAGTGTGTGTGCTTTTTTATTGTATTTTTAAAAGTAACCTTCTCATTTTTCATAGCTATCAGAATAAAAAGACACAGGTACCCATTTTGCCCCTGCCCAAGTGGTACTATTAGCATCTGCAAGTACGTGGTTCTCTCTCGGTTCTGTGTTACTTGACCAGGTAGATGAGTCATGGACTTTCATCAGGGCTGTGCTTGGGTGTGGTCCATCTCCCTGTGTTTCCATCTTATACCTGTAGTATTTAAATGATCTTATTTCACTGTGATTTAGTGTCTCTGTAGTAACTTTTATGGGTTTTGCATTTTAATACTTAATTTGTATTTTAATATTGGAT